CCAAGGCTTTTTTTTTTTTTTAAATTAAACATGTATTATTATTTGTTGAACATTTTTATTAATAGGAGTCAGGGAACCAACAACTGGATCCCCAAATATTTGGGAGTTTAGTAGCATTTTATATTAGTCAAGAAGAAAAGGGTTATTCTCTTCATGGTATTTTAACAACTGGCTTGCCATTTAGAGTTAAAAAGAAGCTGAGTTCTACTTCATTGCTCACTCCCAAGTAAATTACAGATGAATGAAAGATCTAAGGCTAAAATAAATAAAGCTGTATACATTCTAGAACAAAATATGAGTGTGTTTTTTTATCTCTTGGCAGTGCATACAATGTACAAGTCTAAAAGTAAAAGACAGATATATTCGACTCTATAAAAACTGTTGCATGGTAAAAATGCGTGCCATAAAAGAGTCAAAAACCAAGCTTGGAATCTCCGAGAGGACTGATCTGTGGTCAAGGTGAAGCAGAAATACACTAGCCTTGTCAAAGAGCGAATCTCAGTTTTAATCAGCTCCCCTTCCAGTTGGATCCCTGTGATGGGCCCCTACCTTAAATGTCAGTCAAGAGTCAGAGGACTAGAGAAAAATTTCCCAATTCTCATGAAGACTTGGAGGCAAGAATCTGAGGTTAGGTGTGCACAGTTTAGAGGTTCATATAAACAGCCCAAGCTGCTGTTGGCACCCATGAACATCAGCAAGCAAGCTGCGCCTGAAATAGAATACCTCTCGTATAACTCAGAAAAACCCAGATGGGAAAATGGTGTATTCTCAATTGGTAAAGATGATCTGCTAGAAATAAAAGTGAATTCTCTCTGGCAAGAAAAGACTATGATATTCTGCATACGGTTTGCTCCCCGCTGCACCCCACCCCAAAGAAAATCTACTCCCACTTATATATCTGGTACAGGAGGAGTGCTCATATTGTAAATCTGTGTAAAACTGGGCAAATATATAAGGAATGCATTTAGGTGTTGGATACATAAGAACAGGGATACTCACAAGGTGAGCCCCATATCAGATTGACCTCTCTGACTGGGGACAATTCCCCGACTAGGGCACAGCAGGTTGGGGTCCAAACAGAGCATGGTGTTCTCAGGGAGCTGAGGGAGCAGAATGTTTTCAGGGGAAGGGGGGCAACTAGCATCTGCAGAACTTCGTCAATGAAAAAAAGAAACTGCAGAGGGGGAACCAGAGGTCCCCTCTGTGTCCTCAAATGAGAGCTTGACTGCTTATGTCCAGGCAGAGCCTCCCTGGAGCTTCTCAGACAATAAGTGAGTCGACAGAAGAAAAGTGATACCCGTGTTTGAGCAATTTTGAAAGAAGTTGGGGACCTGACCCCAGCAGAAATGAGAGTCCACATTAACACTTCTTAAATGCTTAAGACCTCCGGCTTAGACACAAGACAGGCTGTAGTTTGGGTTGGGAAACATGACATGGACTAAGTTCTGCGGCAGCTCCACCCTAAGGAAGTCTGAAATTATGGCTTGAAAACAATCTTAAGGGAACAGAATTTAGGTGTGGGGCCTTACCAAGTTGCAATTTCTTTGGGGAAATATTAGGCTTTCCACACGTTCACAGCATTATACATTCAAGGCTACACAAGCTCAGAATGAATGGCCAGTAACCAAACTGAAATCTGTGACATAAAAATCAGACGGTATCTTGGCTGTTGCAGGTGGTGCTGCGGGGACCATGGGCGTGCAGCTCTCTCTCTGAGAAAGTGATGTCACTTGTGTTGGGTGTAATCCCATTTTAACCTTGCCCCAGTCAACTCCAGTGTGTAGCCAAGATTGAGAACTGCTGATATAGAGTATTATTTATAAATCCTCAAAAGGCTATAACTCTAAATATAGCATAATACATTGTATTTTATATCAGCACTGCTATTTTTGAAGTTTTTCGAATTAAAATACTTATAATGACTATCACTAAACTGCATAGTATAATATTTTTCCATGTTAGTGACAGATCACGTGGAAAACTTGTTAAATATGCAGATTTTTAGATCCCCCATCTTAGGGATTCTAATTTAGTACATTTGCAGTAAATCCCATAATCTGCATTTTTCAAAGTGCTCCCAAAGTGATTCTTGTGGACATCAAAGTTGAAGAGGTATTGCCTCGAAAAGATGTCTGGAAAAGTTAATGCAGGTGTCATAGTAGAAGAAGACCTCAAAGTACAGAGAAAATACAGATTTAAATTTTCTAGTAGTTTTTGGAATGCAAATTACATATTGATGACAATAAGAATTTTGGGGGGAAAAAAGCTCAAACCATCAGTGCAACATTTATTGATGTAAATACCTTATTGCACAATGTCAACTTCATGTAAAAATATGAACAATATTAACGTAAATAAATCTATTAACTCTAATTCTTGAAGGGATAAAACATATAAGTATTCAAGACTGCTACCATGTTAAAAAATACATATATACACATACATCTAAAATACTTTTAACTTAGTAATACTTTTAGGCTTAAAAAAAAATCAGTCTTTTTTGTCCATTCATGTTTTAAAGGAATAGAAAAATTTTAAGGCATCCAGTTTTGTTGGACAAATTTAGGAACAGCCAGGATAACAAACTCTTTGAGCTTTAGAACAAGCACACATTTTATTTTAAGGTTGAAAGTCTTCTCTATCTAGCTTAAATTTCCTTGGGAATTTAAGAAAATGAATTACTCAAACTGGAGCTACATCAAAATGTCAAGTTAACACATTATGGCCTGTAACGGTGCCAAGGGATCTAATGTCTCAATGATCAGGGCCTTACGTTTCCAAATCACTTTAAAGGGAATGTCATTACCGGGATGCTGGCGCTTTCGTTTTATTTTCTTCTCAGCTCTTTCCTATCTGTGCTTTAACCCAGGCAGACCAAAACCTGACAAGATCACATTGCAAGGAATGGAAACAGCTAAAAACAAACAAAATAGCTGCAAAGAAAAAATGTCAACACAGAAGTCCATAAATTCAGAAAAACTAAGATAAATAATTTTCTCATAATAGTCATTGACGCATTTGCTTTTCTGTAAACTTTTTTTTTGGAGAACTGAACAACTCATATCTAACATACTATTATATAACCAAGAAGAACATCAGTGGAGTGTGCTTGCAGTTTTTCTTGCAAATTTTCCTGGTTGGTTCCCTTTCTTTCTAATAACATTTGTTCCCTGGTCAGGAGTTCTTCCAAGATCTCGCACACCCAATTCCTGGCCACAGAGATGGGCTTGTAACCTAGGTCTAGGTCACTGTAACTATAGTGCCCATTTACACAATTGTTCCAAAGTTTGGTTTATGGCTCAAGCTGTGCTAACGAGGATGCATTTGAGTTCTCGATTTAAAGTGGGGGCATGAGCCAGCCTCTGGGGCACCAGTGGAAGGTCATCTTTCCTGCCGCTTGGAGAAAGTCTGTCTGCAGTTGGAGAAAATGGAGCAAAGAGAGAGAAGCAGAAATTTGGGGTGGGCATAGAGAGCCCTGGGGTGTTAAACCTAGGTTCTAATTCCCGAAGCCTTGGTTCCTGCAGCTTCTGATCCTGGGAGCTCTTCTCTAGCATCCTTTCCTGCTCCAGGAACTAGTAAGTACCCCCTTTGGGCTTAAGCCATCTTGAATAGATTTCTAAAATGTTAACTAGAATTCCAACATAGAACAGAAAATCAACAAATTCCACCTGTCATTTTACAGACAAGAAAACTGAGATTAACTTGCGCAAGGCCACGCATCACGACTGAATCATTCCTTGGCTCTTCCATCTACAGGCATGCTCTCCCTCAAGAAAAAGCTGAAACTTTGAGTTAGTGGGATCTGTGTGTGGAATAACCCCTAACACCTTCCTAACTGGTCCCAGGCAGACTCACGAGTGACTGGGTAAACCGATGTCAGTTTTGAGGGTGGAGAACACACCTCCCAGAACTTGGGCTACAGCTGTTAGCCGAGTGTAGGTTCGTTGATGGTCGCTCCACAGTAGAGATATTCTCTATTGAACCAAGGCCCAAAAGATGACATTTCAACACTGAATGATCTAAGGAGTGTGATAACACTGGAATATCCTTAGATATTACAGACTACTGGCGGGTAGACTGGGTTATTGGTCCTAATTCTTGCTGTCATAGCTTCATATACCTTTTTTTTTCTGCCTTGTGGTTACAGTGCTTCCCACGGTGGGCAGTCAGCTCCCTCTCACCAACACTGGGCTTGCTCAGGAGTTTCCTGTGACAAATGTACAGTTAGAGGGTATAACTAACGATGCCCGCATGGCTTGGCTTCTCTTGTGATTCTGCTACTGTTACAGGTGGGAATCTGCATTACTTAAAATGAAAATTTACCTGTTTTTTTGAATAAGCAGTATTTGCATAGACTATAAAATTTCAAAGGTACCAAAGGGTCTACAACCACCTGGGTCCCCCCTCTTCCTTTCCCCAGAAGAAACCATTTCCTGTGTAACCTTCCAGAAAAACTTGATCCATACACAGGAGAAGTCAAATAGCAGTATTTCAGAGTCCAAACCGAGGGCAGAAAGGTAGGGGCTTTGGATCAGGCTGGAAAAGTCCTTCCTGGGAAGAACCTGATGCTTTTACTTGAGGATACTTTATAATCTGAGCGGCCAGCTCCTGTAGGCAGACTATAAAGGACTTAACTGTTGACCAACTACTAATCTACAAACGTACTTGTCATGAAGATCTCCTTTGAAACTCTTAAAAATTTACTGTTTCCAAAATGCACTCAATATTAGGGTGTATCTGGAAAATCAAATAAGGAATCACTTCTTAGCCTAAAGCAGGCAGCCAACAAGCACAGTCGTGATTTCAGTTTGTGCCATCCTCAAATGATCTGTTTCCTTTCAGAGACAGATCATTCCAATTAAGACCAAACACTGAGCTGAAATGGTAAATTACATATTTAATTTTAATTCATCTGTACCAGATTGATAGTTTCATCTGCAAAAAATGTTTACACCTTTACTTTTCTCCTAAAAGCATAATGAAATGAGCAAAACCACTGATCAAATTTAAAAATTTATTTACAAAACTTATTTTGCTTTTAAAAAACAATTATTCACGAAGATTAACCAAAACACAAACCCTGTCAAAGTTTATTATAATAATCTTTCACAGAATCAATAGCTTAAAAAAAGGACTGCCGATGAATACTTTAATGTAAAACCACAATGTAAAAACAGGGACTTTAATTCCAGTGACTGGAATACAAACAGATAAATAATCTTCCTCAAAGGGAAAAAACACTTGGGGGGAAATGGTGTAAGGAAGTGTGAACGGGAAATGTAAGCTTCAGGTCAGTTCCTCATTGCCAACATGGCATTTATGTCCCAGATGAGGTTTCGTAACTGATCCATAATTTGCTTCAGCTGTTGATTCTTCTGTTTGAGTTTCTGTAGAAACAAAAGAATTTACCAAAAATGAGATATAGACCATGAAGTTAGAAGATTAAATGTATGTTAGGACTCGAGACAGCTAAGCTGAACATTTCCTTCAGGTGAAAGGTCTCAACCCTTTTCTGGCCACAAATATTCACTGAAAGGCATAATGAACTGAATTCTAACTCAGCCCACAGAGGCCTGGCTCCTGCCTCCACCTCCTTTTGCTTGTCTACTTCCACCTTCAAATATTTAATTGTTAAAAAACCTAAGTATATAGGTTTTCCAAGAGGCAGTGTAACATAATGGTCGAGAGCACAGTCTGCAGGGCCAGACGCTGTGGGCTTATACTTGGCTCCTTCACTAAACGTATGACGTTGGCCAAATTACTGAACCTCTCTGTGCCTCAGTTTCCAGGTCAGAAAGATGGGGATAATAATTGAATCCACCTCGGAAGAGTTGATATGAGGATTAAATGATTTGATTCATGTAAAGTGTTAGAAAATATCAATGCAGGAAATAAAGTAAAATAAAAATGCAATGCGTGATGCAATTGGTCTTTCAAAAATGGGGCAGAAGTCACTGTCCAAATGTGAAGCAGTCTGCTTCTAATTCTGAAAACTGAGGACCAAAGAGCACAGTCCCCGATGTAATCTCAACACCTGAGATTTGCTGGCTGCCCTGCATGCACATGGCACCTGTCTCTGTATCTCTGTGTCTGGGTTTCTACCAGACTACAGTTTATAAACTTTAAGTATCCTTTCCTCAAATCCTATGTAGCAAATGTCTGCCTAAAACAAGATTAAAAAATAGAGAACTTCTGGTCAGTGTTTACTAGCTATTATAATAATAAGCATTACTCGTCAATAACCTTTTGGAAACATTACATTTGGAAATAATATATTTGCTCAGATAATTTTAAAGAAACTATATTAAAATACCTCCAACATAAAGTAGTACATGTTCATTATAAAAAGGCCTAAGAACTCTGTAATCAAATTTCAACATAAATTAAGGAATAATTACAAGTGATAAAATTATGTTCTTACATGGTTAAAAACAGACTTAAAATCAGTATCTCAACAGGTTAGAGAGGGCTGCCGCAACGGCTCATCACCGGGTTCAGTGCACACCTTACCAATATGACTACTTTCAACAACGCTCATTTGGAAATATAAATTCTGATATACTTGTTTTAAAAAAATGAGCCTCATTAATTCTTTAAAAATAGTGTAAGAGAACTAAACAATGTATATTTTCATGGTAATATTAAACTCTAGGCTACAGTAATAAAAATTACATGGACAACAGATTACGGAAAGGGAGGGTGGAGGTGGGAGAGGGTATGGAGGGAGAAATGGAAAAAAAAGAGTAAAAAGAACTTTTTTAAAGTATGATATTGGGTGGGCAAAAGTAGGTTTATAGTTGTTCTTAAGGAAAATAATATAATAAATAATATAAGAATAAACTGTTTCATGTACTCACAACTGTAAACCTACTTTTGTTCCACCTGTATTATAAGGTACTTGGTTTTTCTCAAAGGTGCTCAGTTTTAAATTAAAAAAATTAGTACGTGTAAACTACCTAGAGCCAAAACACATCATGAAACTATCAACAGCAAAGCTGACAGTTCTGCTTATTAGTGGTTAAATTGTGAATAAATTTTCATGACGTGATACAGAATTTAATATATACAGTCTTGCCACTGACTGATTTTAACGGAGGTTGACAACTGCTATTATCAAAATCCATCAGCTGTGCCTGATTTGTTACATTAACAGGTGAATGTGTAAGCAGAGTAGATACTTAAAAAAATAGGTTTATGCTAAGTCATGCCGTGTAACTTAATATCCATACAATGGCTGGGACAATTGGTCAATTTCATTTTACCATCAACAGAATATTTAAGCAACAGAGAACCCATTCTTATGTTCTTAAAACACACAGTCTCAACCACTTGTTTGGGCACTAGGGCTTATGGATTCCAAAATATGAAAAGAAAATGAAAAGTATTTAAATGAGCCAAAAGTTTGATGATGGAAACTAAGCCATTCTGTCTTCTGATGATTTACGTCAAATGCCGACTACAAATTTCACGCTCCAAAGCTTCATGGCATTATGGTAGTCACATAGGTGGTCAGAAACCAGGCACATCACGTGGATTCAAATAGTAAACACACCCCACCAGTGTTCTATACAATTTCAAGTACGCAACGATACAGTAATATTTTGAAAATGGCTGAATGAGGGTCAACTAAGGGATATGTAAAGCTACTTATTTTATGTGGCTTATTTACTTCCCTTGCCTTTGGGGTCAAGTTCACAAAAATTCCTCTGAGACCAAGGTCCATAAGTTTAGTGCCTATGTTTTCTTTTGGGTATTTTATTGTTTCAGGTCTTACATCCACGTTTCTTTAATCCATCCTGAGTCAATTTTGTATGCAGTGTGAGGTAGTCCCGTTTCATCCTTTTGCTGTGGCCCTCTACTCCTTTCCCAACTCTACTCTTAGCTTCTTTGTCAAAAAATTAGTTGTCCAGATAAATGTGGGTTTATTGCTGGGCTCTAAGTTCTGTCCCACTGGTCTGTGTGTCTATTTTTCTGCCAAAACCATACTGTTTTGATTAGCTTTGTCGTACAGTTTAAAGTCACAGAATGCGATACCTCTGGCTTTGTTTTTTTTCTCAGCATTGCTTTGGCAATTTGGGGTCTTTTGTGATCCTAAACGAATTTGAGGATTTTTTGGTTCTATTTCCGTGAAAAATGCCATTGGGCTTATTTATAGGGCCTGCACTAAATATGTAGAATGCTTTAGGTAGTATGGACATTTGAACAATTCTTCCAATCCATGAACACAGACTATCTTTCCATTCTTTTGGGTCTTATTCAATTTCTTTCAGCATTTTATAGTTTTCAGTGTATACAGGTCCTTAGCCTCCTTATGTTTATTCCTAGGGATTTTATTCTTTTTTGGTGCTGTTATAAATGGGATTGTTTTCTTCATTTCTGACATTTCATTGTTAGTGAACAGAAATGCAACAGATTTTTGTATATTGTTTTTATATCCTGCAACTTAAATGCATTTATTGTTTTTACACGAGCTTATTTTAAATATCATAAAATCTTCTATGAGAGAGAACTATATGTCACATGTGGCACTCTAAAATTATAGTTAACATTACAATGGTATTTTACTTCTATATATTTCAATGTATTTTATAAAAAATATCCTTATTACAGAGATGAAAAATAAATAGGACACATCTGCTGTGAAGTCATACATAGAATGCCAGTGTGCTGAACACAGCACTGTTCAGTAACTGCCTGCCTCGCCTCTGGACCACCGCATGCGGTCTCGTCATGACCTAAATCCCGACCTCATTCCCACCAGCGCTCTCCACCATGTGTTCATGCTCCTTCACTGCTGTCGAATCTGCTGGAAACAGTCTTCTTAATTTGTATTTCTCCTTTTAAAAAAATCCTAAAGTTTTATTTAATAAAATCTATCCATCTTTTTCCTTTCTCCTTAGTTTTGATATACATTTTTCTTTTAATTTTCCAATACTTTGTTTTGCAGGTCTTACTTTCAACTTTGAAATTCATTTTGACATATGGTGTAATATAAAAGTTAGCTTAATTTTCCCCCAAAGTTTCTGTTTTTAAAGACTAATTTTCCACATAATCCCTCTTGTGTCATATTAAATTCACATATGCAATAGAAAGACTACTTTTCTGGCTATTATTTTACTAATCTGTCTATTCTTGTGCCGGTATTTCACACTTACTGTTTTTATACTGTGCTTCATACGACATTTTAAATTTTAGAAAACAAAGAGTGCTGACTTATTACTCTTATCAGTGTTTTCTTTGATATTTAAGTGTACTCTGAAGAAAAAATTCCCATCTGGATTTTATTTGGATTTGTTTTTTGATTGTTGTTGCACTAAAGTCTTATTTTTGTGTATTTTTTAAGAGAATGCCTATTTGGATTTGGACTGTTACTACATTAAAACTATGAAATAAGATTGGCATTTTTAGGGTATTTATTAACCACATAAGAACTTTTTATGTTCTTTTAACTATTCAAAACTTCCTTTATGTATCTTAATAAGTTTAGTCACACATATCCTTGAGATAAATCCGAACTACTTACCATTTGTTGTTGTTGCAATTGTGAAAAGGATCTTATAACCTAACTGGTTTAATCATGAGAATGGTATCATCTTATATTAAGCCTTTTTATCGAACTGACTGACTGCAGTTGTTTATCAACTGAGCTTCTTTGCACTTAACAAGCTTGAGCTACAACATATGTACAAGCTTAACAAAGTTAATAAACTTGTACATATTATAACCCATTTCCTAAAGTTTGTTTCTTTCTGTACTGTCTATAACTTCTAAATTAATAATAAATATAGTAGTATAAGGCATCTTATTTTATGCATGAAAAACATGGGCTATATATCAGAAAAAGGACTTAAAAAAAGATACTATCTGTTAATAGGTTTATGTTTTCTTTAAATCAGCAACATTTGAATTTTATCAAATGTCTTTTAGATTTGAGGAAAAAAATTGTTTCCCAATTTAATCTATTGACATTACATATTATACATATCCTCATGTACCTCAGAAAATTCTTTGTGGTGGATTAAACTGTTAACACCCTGCTGAATTCTATTAACTAGAATTAAAATTTCAGGGGCGGGACAGGGGGATTTGTACCTGAAAGTGTGAAACTGGTAATTTTATTTATTGTGCTATTGGTTAGGCTTTGGTAAGCGTGGGCCATGTTTCTACCACTGAAAGAACTAACAACTTTCCCTGTTTCTATGTATTTCATGAGAACCATCTGAACATCTGAACTTCTGAAAATATTAGCAATAAGTACATTTAAGTTTGGAACTTTTTTTGGCAGGGGGAGTAGGGAAAGGTAATGCTTTGATAACTCTCCTGATTTCTCAGTCAGGCGTTGAGACATTCACATTTCCTATTTGTAAATTTTTATCTTTTGTCACTCCAAATATGCTGTAAACTAAAGAGCTAGAACTGCGCCTAGAAAAAGAAAACAGTAAATGCAACTGAGTGCTCATGCAGCTCACCTAAGAGCTTGACTGCGCGGATCTGCGGTCTCCCTTCCGACTGTTCAGCTGACCCTTCCGCTTACCTTTTGGTGCCCGGTTGTCCTCTGAGTTCAATTTGCCCCACAAACCACTGCATGTAACTCTACAAGTCCAATTACGTTTCTCGGTTACACGTCCCCCTGCAAATGTGACCCGTGACCCGGAACCATGAGATGCACATGCGGGGCACTCACTTTGTTCACGTCCGCAATCTCCCGCCTCTCTTCTCCCGCAAACCGCGGGGGGCCAGCCCGCTCGTCTGTCCTCGAGCCATCTTCCTCCACATACGGAATAAGCTGCTGGAGGTGACAAAGGCAGTTAAAAGTCCAAACGCGACGCAAATTCCCAGTTACACCCGCACAGGTAGTAAGTCAGGTTAGGGTCAACGTTTAGACTTTTACTGGTATGAAATGAAATTTTAACTTAGGTGATGGTCTAAAGTAACAGCGTGCGGGAGAAACTTATCATTTCAGTGCATTCTGCAGTTTTTCAGATTTCTGTTGCAAAATAGCCACTGTAACACTAGCTGTTACATACAGTTAATTAAACCCTGCTCATTCCATCAGCAAATATTCAATTGCCAGACACTGGGTGAGACACTGCAAAAATAATTACGCATGAGTTGTGATTCCCACACCTAAGAAATTCATAGTCCACTGGGACAGAACAGGCTTTCTTTCATCCATACGGGGAAGAAGGCAACTTCATGGATGTGCATTATATAAATATAAATGTCACTGGTTTCCCATCTAGAACCTAAGGACCTATGCAAATTCCTAGATGTCTTAACTTCTTTTGATCGGGGGAAGTTGTTTTTTGGGTTTTTTTGAAACTTCCAGGGGAATTATAATTAAGTATGTATGGTTTGTGATGAAGTTTATTTGATGAAGCCCCTCGGACATGTGACAGACTTCAGGAATCATCCAGTCCCAACAGTCTTATATTATTACCAATACAGGAACAGGTTCCAGGTAAATAGTTGGTACAACCAGGAGTCATGTGCCTAACCTCCGCATTCCTAGGACAATGAGAACTTCCCCACACCCACACCGCTCTTTCCCTTTCCTCCCTCCTGTGCACACTGGCCCTCCCCCTGTAAGCTACTCGTCTCCATTCATTCCTGTGCTCTGCTCCTCTGCCTCCCAACCTTGCCTACCATTTCCCTCCTGATCATCCACACACATTCCGACCTCTCCCACGTGGAGGAAAAGCCAAAACAAAGAAGCCTCGACTCTAACCCTCCCTCCATCTCCTGCTCTCCTCTCTCACTTTTTATCTGGGCTCCTTGAAACACCCAAATCCACTGGCTCTGGTTCCTTATTTCCTGTTCAGGCTTCAGCCCACTGTGATCTGACTTCTGGTTGCTGCCATTTCACTGAAGCTCTGCTCATATACAATGACAGTCCTCCAGCAAAATCTACGGGACAGTTTTCAGTCCTTATTTTCCTGGACTTCTCTACAGCCTCAGACAACTTGTCAACCACGTTTCTGATCTTTCTCCAGCATCTCTGACTACTTCTTTTCAGGCTGTTCTCAGTTTCCTTGTTCTCTGTTCATCCCTACATGCTGATCACTCAAAAAGAAAGCACTGATCACATGAAATTGTCTTTTATATGTAGTGAGACAACACCCAAATCTTCCCAGCTACCTCTGGTGGCGGAGATATAAACCGTCAACAGGAAAGGGACATCTATAACAATATCATAAACCTAGTTAACTAAAATATATCTAGGATCCAAGGTTAAATTTACAGAATATATTTTAAAACTAGAGTGATTCACTAAGCTAATCTAAATTATTGATGAAAACATAACTTTTCTCCATAAAGAACTCATATGAAAACTATTTAAAAAGTGTTTGACAATACTTTTAAAGTTCTCACAAAAAAACAAAAAATAAAACATACACTGATTTAATTAAAAGGCAACACTAACAACAACGATAAAAATTCCCAGGGACAACCTCTCATTCAAACCACCAAAATTCACTAATAAGCCTGTATGCTAGTCTACAGAAAATTATTAACATGAAAATATAGTAATTCTATATATACATAGTCTATACATATATTTATATCATATTTCCATTTCTCTAGTCAAAAGTAAAACTGATATAATTCAAAATCTGGAAATACTGCAAAAATAGGAGTCAGGAAGAAGGGAAAACATTACAAATGCCTGAAACTATCTTACATCTTCCATTCACCCTCCCTCCACCACTAAAGCTTGCCTCTACTGGAATAGGATCCATCCCTCCACAGTTTTCATTGCATTTGTCATAGACCAGCCTCAGCTTCCGGAAGAGAATAGAAAGCTGGCGCAGATGATCCTGGAGCTTTGCTAGCCGATCCTGGTATGTTCCAATGTGGTACGTGACACCATTTGGGAGCTTATCAGGAAAAATAAAACAACAAAAATAAAGTCACAATTTGCTATAAGCTAGCCAACAGTTTTTAAGCACTGCATAAAGGCAAATAGTTCCTCACAGTTAATCAAGTGCAATTTTAAGAATTTAAGAGTAATTCGTGCTTATTTCTGAGCTTCTCGGCATACTGTTTCAGTGCTATAAAACAGACCAGAAAAAACTTTTGCGATGAGCCCCTCTGACCTGGTGAAATACTTAAAAATGTACAATTTTAATTTACTTACTATTACAGAAAGACAGCAAGTGGCTAAACTCAACAAGGAAGTTAAAAATAAAATACAGTTTTTAAAAAAGAAGAAATAAATGAAGAGAGGACTTTTCAGAAGACAAGTAATAATATGCTGCTCCTGTTGCAATATAATCTCAAGATACCTTAACTCTGATCATTAAGATGCTCAAGGCACACATTAAAGTAAAAAGCTGTCACCGAAAGATTTACTTTAGAAAAGAACATATAGCAGGACATATAGGTGCAAATCGATCCGAACTTGAACATCATTAATAAATTATTACAGGTAACTGCTATGACCATAACTGTCTTGGATGCTTATGCATTTTTAATTCAGGAATTTTATCCAAAGAAGCCAAATATATGTAGGTAATAAAATAAAATCACAGATAAATAGAAATTGATCATTATTTATTTAGATCTTAGAACTAAATTCGTGCTTTTTGTGCCTTGCGGAAACTCATGAACAAAAATCTTCCTTTCTCTGTACATCTTTACATTTTATTTTCACAATCCCTTCTGCAAAATCATTCCAACATTAGAATTAACGACATTTATAACCTGTTTTCTAGTATAGAAGGTGCTTTCATTATAAGCATTCACCCTTATACTTATCTTGGGGATTAAAGTAACAAAAACAACTACTTACTAATAACTATATCAGTCCATTTTTTTTTTTTTTCTAAACCTCAGTTCATTTTTCTTCTTTTTTAAACAGATGAAGTAAAAATGCAAAAAAAGTGCATGATACAATGTTTGGAGAAAAAGGAAAACAGGACACACTATTATTACACGGAGGTAAAACCGTAAACATGAGAAAAAGGCTGGAAATGCTTACACAGTTGATACACTTGAATAATTTCTGCTTTTCTCACTTTCAAATTTTCAAAAATAAGGAGATGGATCTTCTGAAATTATTTGAAATGAGATAGTTAGGATTTTCAGAAATTCTTAAGCATTAAAACATTCTGAGGACAGAACCTCAAAGAAATGTGATAAAAAATTACCACAGGCTGAATTAATAAAAATAAAGGAGAAAGGAATTAAAAGTTCCCTAGTACAATGTAGGATTTCTCCTCTTAAGCTTTCCAATTTATGAACTTTTACAAACACTAGCAGTCAAAGAACCATTTCAAAGGATCCCTGCTTTCCTGTTTGAGTGACAGTAAGGAGTATAATGATTATATCTCACATACGGAAGCACTAGGTACCTTTTTTATAGCATTTACTAAATTTACTACTTTGACCATATATTCTACTTAGGGAAGACCAGAACTTATTCACATTTGTATCACTGTATTTAGTATAGTACTGACAAACAGAAGGTTTTAAAGTACCGTCTGAATTATTTTGCTTTATGAGTTATTTTCCAAATAAATCTATACTTAAAATTCATTTAGAAGCATTCTAAAAAAGAATGCTTAATAAATTTTTTCACAAAGGAAAACAAAATCATTTTGAAATGCAAAGAATCACCCTCCTTAAATTCACCTACTTAGTAAGTTTGAGTATTAGTTTTCACATATACAATTTCAGCTTCTCAAAGAAAGGAATAATTAATTCCATCAAAAAAATTATTGCACACTCTTCATGTGTCAGGCACTGTTCTAGAAGCTGGGGTAGAGCAGTGAACATGAGAAACAAGGTTCCTAAACTACAGAGGTCACATTACTACAGTGCCTAAGATCCTTTGGTATACACTGTAGTGCACATATTTAGCCAAAAAGCTCAATAATCCTCCTCATGAATGCTGATGAAGATCCATAAACATACCCCAAGATACCCAAAAGGCATTCAACTAAATTCAACATCTATTCTTAAAACGAATATAAAACTCTTAATAAACACTCCCCAATGTGGTAAAACACATTTATCCCAGTTAAAAAGTCAGCACCATGATTCATGTGGAAACATTAAAAGCATTCTCAATGAAGTCAGAAACAGACTGGGATGCTTACTAAGACCACTAATACTACGCGTGAACACCATTCTGGAGGAACTGGCCAATGCAGTTAGAGGGGGAAAAAGAAAGAAAAGTTGAAACATTAAAAAGGATGTGGTATAACCATCACTACAAACGACATGAGAAAGTGCTCCATCAATAAAAGAATTCAAGAAGGAGGTGGGTGCAAAGTTCATGGACAGAAATCAAGAGCTTTGCTTTCATCTGTAAAAACAAAAGAAAATGAGAAGGGAAAAGACCCTAATTACAACAGCAACAATAAAGATAAAATATCTAGGAATAAATTTTTTAAAAATTCCAAGATAGCCCAGTCGGGCGTGGCTCAGCAGTTGAGCGTCGACCTAGGATCCAGGCGATCCGGGTTCAATTCCGGGTCAGGGCACATGCCCGGGTTGCGGGCTGCAGTCGATCAATCACTCTCTCATCATTGATGTTTCTATCTTTCTATCCCTCTCCTTTCCTCTCTCTGACATCAATAAAAAATAATAATAATAAAATAAAATAAATTCCAAGATAAAAATGAAAACTTACTTCACAGGGACACAAAGAAGGATATTCCACGTTCTTGGTAATTAAGACTCAATATAATACTGATGTCAGATCTCTCCGAGTTAAATGAACCGATTAAAAATGTGAACAGGTTTTTCTCAGAACTAAACAAGCTGATTGTAAAGTGCATGTAGAAAAATAAGAATAACCAAGGCAAGCCTGAAAAGAAAGTGTAAACACAATATAGAGCCTCAATAAGTAGAAGTTTGACATTACTGCCTAAGACAGGCAGGCAGCTAAGTGAAGAGAACAGAACATCCAGAAATAGACTGATTTGTATAAAGTAGCATCTAAAATCAATGAGGGAGGAAATGAATTATTCAATCAGCCTTACTTTTTTGGAAAAAGGCCAGGGCTATACCTCACACTTTATTCTAGGCTAAATTCCATATGTATCAAAGTTTTAAATATAAAAATTGAAGAAAAAGTTATAAGAAGAGAGATGTTCAAATTCATTCCAAATAGGAAAAATAGAAAGTAGATTTCACCCATCAAATGATCAAAGATCCAAAAATATAACTGTGTTAGAGCTCGGTTGTTGGTCTTGGTCAGGACATGGCAGCATAAACTGGTACAACCCCCATGGAGGGCAATTGTTCAAAATACATCTGATTATGGAAGCACGTAGCCATTTCTAAGAATTTATCCTACGGGTCCACTTGTGCATTTATGTAGGTTATTCACTGTAGTATAATAGTCAGAGATTAAAAGTAACCTAAATGCCCTTCAGTAGAAAACTGGTTAAACAAATTATAGTATTTCCATGCAGTGAATTACTATACACTTTAAAAAGAAAAGGAATTATTTTCTGTATGACTATGAATAAACTCCAAAATATACCAAATGAAAAAAGCAAGGTGCAAAATGTGTGTAATATACTGTTATCTGTGCAAAAGGGAGGAAAATGAAAGAATATACACATACATTTGCTTAAACATGCATGGACTATCTGGAAGGATACACAAGAATAGTAATAAAAACCATTAACAATCCTTGCTTGTGGAGAAGGGGGTAGACAGCTAGCAGAGAGGGGTGGGAGGCAGAATGTTCAATGTATTGTCCTTTTTGATTTCTGAATTTTGAATGTATTATATATTCAAAGAAACTGTTTCAAAGATGTAAAGGATAATAAATAGAACCACAGCACTACTTTCTTATAGAGGCATTCTCAACTGGGATCCCGGGATCCTTGGGGAAACATCTCTTAACCCCCCTGAAATTTTATTCAAAATGTGTATGTGGATGTTTTTCTCAGAAGAGTCTGCCTAATCAAGAAGCACTTCTCTAAAACAAACTCTTAGAAATAATCTCAGCAGCTGTACTTACGGCAATTCACCCTTCTTGATTAGCAATACAGAAGATCATTTTTAAGATGTGAATACTCTCAAAAATAAGTTATATGTAGTCCTGTTTGTATCACTACTACTTCTAGCTTTCTGGAAATGAAGGGGCACACACTGTTGTTTCTTTAACAGCGAATTATAATATACCCCAAAGGGTCTTACATGAGTTAAGCCAAAGAACTCACACTTATGAAAGCCACAAAGAAATAACCATCAGTCTCTTTCAAATTGATTTTGAATATATATCCACATGTAATCTAGTTACTTATATATTTTTTAAAATGTTAATTTTTTTTCCTGTGTTGGCCATGGATGTGTATTCTGTCTCTTTCAGTACTAAAAATTGTTTGGCAGCAAGTCAGTACTGTAAAGAAGTTCATAGGAAGAGCTACTAGTCATATGTGATGTTGGGTAAATTCTGCTTTAAGTCTGTTTCCTTAACTGTAACATACAGATAAAAATACTCCTTAGAATTGCTCTTACAACAGCGTACCTTACCAAGGAAAGTACTTGATAAATATTAGCTATTAGTTCTCCAGTCCTAATGTGTTTCTTTATTTTTAACATGTTGCATGCCAAGTAATGGATGCAGCATGTTAAAAGTAAAGAAACACATTTTCAATTCATGGTTGGGAATCCACATATATGGAGGGCTGACTTAAAAGTTTTATGGGGGTGTACACTGATATAAAATGGATACTGGCTTTTATCTGAAGAACTTTTTAGCCCAGAAGTTGGTCTATTATGGGAGTTGTTGTTCTCATTATGCACTTTTCTATAGTATATAACAACATGGTATAAAAATGTGAACAGCAAAAATAAAATGCTGAATATAATTTAAAAAAGTTATATGGGAATTTTTAATTGCGCTGGTGGTTGGCACCCTAATCCTGCATTGTTCAAGGGCCAACTGTATTTGCTAAATTCTGAGAGATGATTTAATACATACTTTAATCATTTTAGATATTAATATATTGATTTTTAAAATACTCACCAAAGATTTCATATCTTCTCTTAGATTGCCTTTGTATTGTTTTACACTTATTGACATGGTCTTCAAAGATTTCTAAACAACTGAATTACTTTTAAAATAAGGAGGGGGGAAAAAATCTCAAGAACTTAAAAAAAAAAAGGCAATAAACCACTTTTTAATGCACCAGTAGAAATAAGAACTGTAAGAGCCTGAAGACCTGGTTTCAAATTTACCTGGTTATTGACCAGCTCTGGGCAAATCCCTTTGCCTCTCTGAATCACAGAATCCACATCACATAGTAGTAAGATGAGCAAGCATTAAAAATGGGTTAGCAAGTATGGTAATGACCAGAGGGAAAGGGGTGTGGGGGGACGTAGAAGAGGGTACAGGGGGGATAAATGGTGATGGAAGGAGACTTGACTTGGGGTGGTGAACACACAATACAGTATACAGATGATGTGTTATAGAATCGTACAACTGAAACCTATGTAATTTTATTAACTAATGTCACCCCCCAAAATTCAATAAAAAATAATGGGTTAGCAAAAGGTTGTTGGAACAATTGGATATCCAAATGCAAAAAAGTGCCCTTGGATCCATACCTATCGTTATATAAAGAAATTAACTCAATGTGGATCGTAGACCTAAATGTAAAACCTAAAACTATAAAACTTACAGAAGAAAAAAAATAAGAAAAAATACTCGTCAGCTTCACTTAGGCAAAAATGTCTTAGATATGACACCCAAAGCAAAGTCTGTTAAAGAACAGATTAATAAATTGGATTCCATCGAAATTTAAAATGCCTGTTCTTCAAAGGCAATGTGAAGAGACTGAAGACAAGTCACAGGCTGCAAGAAAGTATTTGCAAAGCGAGAAGACACACGATGACAAGTGCTGGCGAGGCCAGGAGTAACTGGAAGCTTCCAACACTGAGGCTGGGAACGCAAGTGATGCAGAGCTTTGGAAAAGTCTTATCCAGCAATTCCACCGGTGGGCACCTGCCTACTTGAGAGAAATGAAACACATGTTCACACGGCAGGGGAACATTCGTAGAAGTATTTTTATAATGACTCCCAAGCAGAAACGACCCAAATGCTCAACAGATGAACATACACACATTGTGATACATGCAAACAATGGAACACTCTTCTGCAATCAAAAGGAACGAACTATTGATACATGAGTGAAAGGAGCCAGACGAAAACGACTACACAGTGAGGGATCCCATTTATACAAAACTCTAGAAAACGTATGGTGCCAGAAAGCAAATGCGAGGCTGCCTGCGGACAGGGGCCCGAGGTCAAGATGCCAAAGGCGCGCGAAGAAACTTTCCTGAGCGAGGCGATGGTTCCAACAGGTGTGCGCCGATGTCAAAACGTTTACAAAAATGCATTGTATTGTACGCCCGTGACACCAAAACCCAGCTGTTTAACAAAAATGGTTAGCAGGGTCTGAATTCTTCAACCCCTGAGGCCCTCAGAAAGCATTTTGCTGGAAAAAGGCGAGAGGAAAGCGAACGGAACCCGCAGCGGGCAGCGGCGCGAGGCTCCCCGGTAACGCGCGGTGCAGGCTGGCCGGCGGCCGGAGAGCCCGCTGCAGTGCAGAACCCGCGGCCTTCGTCGCCCAGAGTCCCGTTCTGGAAAACGCCCTGTACACGGCGGACTCCCGGGCGCGGACACGGCCTTGAGGAACCTACACGGGGCGGCCCGGCCCGCGACGTCTGCCCAGCGCTGCCCCGCTGACGCCGGGGGGCCCGGGAGCGCT